AGACCAGATGAAGATTCATTTTCTCTCTTCTTTAGGGAATATTTATCTTCCTCTGAATAGCTCCATGTATATCTCCTACTTTAAAGTAGGAACCTGAAGAAATGAGCACTTTCCTACAGCAAGAATTGCATAACTCTTAACTAAGTGCAACAAATGTAATACAGCCTCCTGCTCTTAGAGACTCCATATGAAGCCTTAAATGAACAGAAAAAACTTCAGGATTTTGGAAGAAAAGCTTTGCCAGTTCACTTTAGCTGAGAAATAATTGCCTCTCTATCTTAACCAGGCTGAAGCTACACTTTACAGAGCAAAAACACAGAACAGAGCAACCCAAGAACAAACAGTAGGTGCAGGAACTTTCACTCACTTCAGAACATTTTCCCCAGAGGCAAGGAGTACTCCAGCTTTTATATTTGCATCCACCTTCTGCTTCTTCTTTGATAGGCTAAGGTAATTATATCAAAAGCTGCAAATGCAACTTAGATTCCTCCAGCCGCTTTCATATTTTTTAAACATATAAACACATACATGTATTCATATATGAATTAATTTTTATATTTATAGTTTTAACAGGAGGAGGAATCCAAGCTACAGGGTGAATTTCACTCTCTGGAGGCTGGAACTGCAGTTAGGTTTCAAGCTGGGTTCATAGCAGTGATACAGAATGGGTTTGGACTGGAAATTTTGCTTAGAGCTCTGCAGGACTTTGGAGGCAGGCATGGGGATGGAGGACAGAAGTATCTTACTTCTGGCTGTACAATATCAAGCTATACTTTCTATGGTGATATTTTGCTGACAATGCAAACCTCAAGGGCAAAGCTTAAAGAAAGAAAAAAACCCCAAACCTGACATGTAGACATTATCTTCAGTAATGTTAGACAGCCAGCATGGGACCAAAGTGGGAGTTTGTGAAATTCAGTTGCAAACTATATAAAAAGACTGCAGTAAAACTACTAAAAGTTAAAGTCTGACTAAGGCATGGATTCTCCAACGCATTCTGAAGCCTAATGTCGGGCTGGAGGCAGTACTCAGGTTAGGCAAAGGGAACTGAACATAAGGTGATGCAGAATTATTTCCTGCTTCTTTGTGGGAGAGGTGCAAACCTTCTCTAGAAGGGCATCTGGGGTAGTCTGCACCTGGACTGCAGCTTCACTGGCTTCAGCATTGACCTGTGACCTCAGCCCAAAGGACGTGGACTTCTTACTGATTGTGTAATGCACAAAAGTGCCTTCAACTGCATCCTTCCTGCTTCTCGCGGTGAGCTCCCACAAGTCTGGAGACTTCACCATAAGATCTATTGCTACAATACCTTAGAACACAGAGAGGTTTAGCAAGGAAAAAGAACGAACAATACTTAAACTGAAAATATATGCAGATTTTTAAGGTTGCATCTTAAAAAAAAAGAGACAAAAAAAGGACAAGGGACAAAAAGAAAAAAGGACAAGAAAAAAAAGACAAGAATAAAAAAAGCGGGACGAGAAGAAAAAAGGGGGAGCAAGAAGTAAAAAGGGGGGGGGCAAGAAAACAAAAAGGGAGAGAAGGTATGTTGTGTGCAGCCAAGATGTGTATATGGTGCAGGAAAACAGTGTGAAAGTGTGGCATTGCCAGAACATTGCCATAAAGTTTGCTAACTTTGCTACTCTTTCTTTCAGGTAGGGAGAAATGCATTTCTATATAAATATGATAATGGCAAATTCTTTGAAATTATACAACAATTTAGATGAAAGACTTTTAGAACCAAGAAGTTTCCTGACTCTTATTCTCATATTAAGTTTGCTAAGTTTTTTTTATTCATCAGGTATGTTAAAATTATAATTGACAGATATGAAAAAATAATTGCAAGGGATGGAATCATAAGGAAAATCTCTTTCCTGCATATTGGCTGTTACAGCATATGGTCCAGATGAATTTTCTTCTGAATGTTGATGTCTATTTTGCTATTGTGAAGAAGCCTTTCTCTAGATATGTTTCCCATACTAGAAAAAGCATAATCAGTTTAAGGATTATAAGCATGTACTCTTTTTTGAGATGTCATAAATGCTTATTTCTGTAAAGTTACAGTGTGCTGATTATTGCACCTATATTTGTGTTTGAATAATCTCACTTGTGTAGGTAAAGCACAATCAACTCAATGTTAATGCTATGCTAGAGTACCACTAAAATCAGAAGAGTAGAAAACCCCAAAATATCTAGGAGAGATCAACATAGTTATTACGACTGAGCTTTCTGTTGGTTTTGTTTCAAGAGAAGCTGTATGATACAGCTAGTCTCATTTCATCATACTTTGGAAAGACATCCGCTACCAATTTTTTCCCTCAAAGAAACACAGTATTAAAAAAAAAAGAAAAAAAACTTAACTTGTTTAACTCTGCAGAGTCTGTGTGCTTCCTACTAAAATCTGCTCAACTGAAGGCTTACAAATTAGTCTCTGGAGGTAGAAAAGGTCATAAAAAGTAAACGACTTGCTTTCCAATAGTTCACTATAGCTGCTAGCTGAAGCTACTTATTATTGGGGATTCGGTTTTAGTACTAACTGTTTCAGATATGAACCTCAAATGGTCAAAAGTGACTAAGGCAAGACTGGCTGTATGAATGACACTGTGTGATTGCTCCTCTGTAGATATCACCCAAAACCACAAAATCTCAATCCAGAACTGAATCTCCTTTGAGTACCATAAAATACTGATTGGCAAGCCATGCCCCTGGCATATAGACATTTCTTTAGGGAGGCTTCATACTAAAAGCAGGTGGAATGAGTTTTTTGATACAACAGTTACTTTTTGCTACTACATTGGGAACAAGTACCATAAAAGATCATATCCAAAGCCTAACTGCCAAGACAAATGGACAGCATGCCTACAACAATGACTGATCTTCATTTTTGCAAAAGACATTTGTTTACTTAAGACATTCCACTAATCTCCCCACCTTTGGAGCAAATCAGGAAGCTCTGACCTCCCATTACTTTTAGACTAGACAAGGCATCTGAGATTACTGATGGTGAACTGTTATCTCAACCTGCATTTCTTGACTTCTAATTCGTAGTGTTTCCACTTGCCATGTTACAAAGCATAGAGCCCTCCCTTCCCAGGAAACTCAGAGAACCGAGCATCAGCTCTCTAGGGCCTTGTCCTGGACGGCTGACAGTGTTCTACCAAGTGAGGTCTTTGTGGTTAAAATTATATTACAAATTCTTCAGAGAAAAGATAGCTTTCCTCTAAAGGGAAGCCTGCAAGAAGCTTCTTTGTCACTGTAAAACGATGATGATAGGTGGATTAAGGTAGTCGGCCAAAGAGAGAGATGTGTCATCACCGATCATCTGAGTGGCTATGAGGGAAATTATGAATAACATTGGACAGTTAAGGTTTCAAGTAATTGAAAGTATCTACAGTGTAATGAATAGACATCTGGCAATAGTATCCTGTTCTAGTTAGTACATCGTTTTGGACAGCTGGAGTTCAGCTAACTGAGGTTGCACTACAAATACATTATAAAGATTTTCCAGTATGCAGCTCCTTTAACTCTGGAGGTCTTCAGGATTCTTATATCAAATTCATTGCTTTAAAAAAAAAAAAAAAGTGTAATGTAGTGAATCCAACCAACATATTAAATACATTAAAGCCTTAATCTTCCTGCCAAGGCTGGGAGGTGGAATGTGTGGTTCTTTAAGACGGCTACAAATAGATCCTCTCCCACTAGAGCTGAAAAAGCCAGCTAAGCCGGCCAGCAAAAATGTAAAGCAGACATTAATCACAGCAGCCTGCACCTTCCCTCCACTTGCAAGCTCTGTGTACCAGCAGGAAGAAAAACAGAGAGCACCAAACACAACTCAGCATAGGCTGCACTTATGCACTTCCTGAATTACTGCTAGCTCCGAGGCACTGTATCTAATTTGTTGCTATTAACTTCCCTGTTTGATGCTTTTCAACCAAAAGCAACACATATGCAAAGCACCCATCTGATTGGTTTGACTGAGGATTTCTTTAATTACATGTTCAGAAAGCTCCCTCCCACCTCCTCTGAGGAAAGAAAGTCAGAAAAGACCTCAGAAGGACCATCATCAAGGTTTCAATATGCTACCTTCAGTATCAAAATCTAAACCTCCTCTTTCAGCTTCTGATATGCGGACTTACATATAAAGACTGATGCTCTCATGGCATGACTTGCACATTAGGGAAATAAAACTAAGTAACAAACTCACTATATCTTTTTTCTCTACCATTTATTGAATACATGCTATTTGCGCTATCTTTGTTTCTGGCTGTGTTTCCTTCCTAGAGCAGAAAAACATTTCTACCACACTACTCCTGCAGGAATTCCTTTTACAAGTTTCACAACAGTGATACAACTTGGCCAGTGACAAAATACCCAGTGCTTTCACTTCTTCCAGTGACAAAACACCCAGTGTGATACATCAGCCTCTGATTTACTGCCCCTCTCACTGGTTTGTCAGAAATTTGAAGACCTTGAATGGAGAAACGTTACATAGAAACTGATAGGAGCAGGTTGTCTTCACTTTCCAGTGCAATATGGAACATTTCCTACAGACTCCAGAAGACCTTGAATTACCAAGTTTTAAGACATTACTACTATTATGTACTTGACAGATATTTTACGAGATCCTGAAATACTTCAGTAATACATTTTCTACTCTAAGCAACTTAAAAAAGTTTTAAAAAAAATCCTTAAAACATTTCCATGATAGCTTTTTGTCCAGCTCCAAGAAAAAAAAAATAATCAAAACCAAACACATACAAGACTCAAAATGGGATGACATACAATTTTAACTTGTTAACATTCTCTTCAGAAATCACACATACATACACTACCTGTAAGAAAGTTGTGCCATATTTATGCTGATAAAAATCCTTACATCACTTAATCATGTTCTTGAGTAAACAGTAGATAAACACGTAGTTGTAGATCAGATGTATATCAGTAATTATGTACATAGACACAGAATTAATTAGTGAGTTTTTCAATCAGGACAACAGCATTACCTTCTTTTTGCTGCAATAAATCTGCCATTTCTTCTCTGGAGGGAGTGCAAACATAGCCTCTCTGTTCTTGTCTGTGAGATCCAATTCATCCTGGAGATTGTGAGAAAGAAAAATAGGAAAAAAAAAACCAACAGTCAACAGCTGCATTGGCAATTTCTAATCGGTTGAGAGGAATCTGTACCAGGCACATTAACTAGCTTTCTGTCAAAAGGCAGAGGACTTAGTGGCTCCCAAAGACTCAAAAAATTATTGGTTTCGTAATTTTTACCTTGCTACTTTGAGTTCTCCCTGTCAGAGCAGAACCTAAGAAGAGAGGCAGCCTGAACAATTCTCATGTCAAACTTCTATTACTAATGATTAGTCAAGGATGGGAAAGACCACATGACAGGCATGAAGTGAAAAACTCAAAGCATTGGATTATGACACAGACACTTGTCACAACTCTTAGAGAAAGGCTAAAAATTAAATACACCTTTTTCCTGGCTTGCAGTACCAGCTTGGTCTTCTGTAGGAGAAGAGTGAAGCTACTGCATCTTTTAAGCAAAGGTCACAAGACAGTTGCCTAGTAGTAGTAATGGCAACAGCAACCTACAGGTTGAAATGTTTGTCCAGATGTTTGTCCTGTGAACCACACAGTCACCGGCAAAAGACAACGAGAGTTTCAGACATAAATGATGCATCTCCACGCAGCGTCATATCAGGTTAAACAGACCAGTAAACTCAGTCTCTGTTAAGAAAAGTGAGTTCAGTGGAGCATACCCTTTTTAGAGCACAGTCAACCTTACATTTGTAAAATGAGGGATAATGCTGTGATCCAGAACTGACTTCCAACTCTGTCACAAGCTCCCTCTGGATACACCACAAAATTCCCCAGCTTTGGTTTCTCTTCTGTAAAAGTTTATAACAGTAGACTCTCTTCCTATACAACAAGTCTCAAAAATCTGTGTTTATTCAGCACTGACTAGAACAAGGCTCCAATCACAGCTACCAGTTTCAGGTGCTAATGGGAATTACAAAAATAAGAATGGTCTTCATTGCAAGCAGCCTGCAAGAGCAGGGACAAGTGTAGATGTCTAAATGAGAGTTTTGGCAATATAACGACAAGCTTCCAATAACATTTCAATGAATCAGTTTTGGCAGGGTTTTCTTTTCGCTATACATTTGAAAATGTTTGGAGAAGGAAGTGTCCAGGGGTCCAATATTAAGATGACATTCTAGCAACTAAGAACGCTGCACATGCAGAATCTGGCACCCACACTAACCTAGCCTGAGCAGAGACAATACCTCTTTAACTTAGCCCAACAATGGCTCATTTGGAAAGTGTTCAGGGCTGGGAAACTTGTGAAAACAGTGAGCTAAATTGCACACTGAGCCTGGTAGCGGCTGCTGACAGATTTAAAAGCCCATAGAGATTTCAGCTGCAAAAAGGTACAAAAGAAATGCAAACAGTAACAAGGCGAGGTCAGTGCCAGAAGTCCAAGGTAGAAGAAGCTGGAGGGTTTTTTAAACAAGAAAAGGTTTAAAGGCAAAAAACCCCCACAATTTTAGCTGTGCAAAAAGAGTGCAAACCATGTGGAAATGTTTAGGGTGAGCTTCCAAACAAGGGGGCAGCCAAGCGAGGCAAGGAGTTTTATCCTTGCTACACACAATTAGAAAGCTCAGGCCAGGATCACATTCTTGGGGGGAGAGGGAGAGTGAAACGACATGTAAGGTCTTAAGACAAGCAAAGGAATGCTGATGGAGGTCAAGCATGTGGGAGGGGAAGGAGGGGCAGACAAGGAATCAGAAATGCCAGGTTTGGAAGAACCACCAAAGGGGGGCCAGAATACACATCTGAAATGAGCTGGCAGGGCTCAGCCAAATTCTTAGAAAAAATATTACTGTTTTATTGAATTGCTTAATGATCTTAGCCGCGGCCTTTTTTTTTTTCTTTTTTTTTTTTTTTTTTTAATAAAGAGCAACTAACTTGGTTTTCTAATCCATACTGCTGTTTCTGGAGTCTGAGGGCAGATCAGACAAGCAGTAAAAGCTCTTTCAAGAAACTGTGCACAAAACTGAACAGTGATCTCAACCAATATAGTTCAAGACAACCATTTCGTCAAAAGGACACTGCTATTGACCTAAACCACCCAGGATGCTGCCACTCAGCAGCTTCTAGACGCTGCCCTGGATGCTTGCAGTATCAGGAACATAAAAAGAGCACTCTGCTTTCAGTGGAGCAATAAGAATATGCAACTTCCAGTCATGTAATTTTGCATCCTGATAGCATTAAATTCTTTTCAGGACAGAAACCCAGAAAAGTACTTTGAAGGGATGGAAGATCCTGTAGGAACAAAGTGCATCCACACCCTACTTTGTTGTGACTCAGGGGGATAGATTAAGCCCGAACATTAGAAGTCATCACATTAGCTCAGATAACATAGTAATAAGGAAACTGCTCAGGGTTCCAGGCATAATGTGATCACCAAAGGCAAACCCAAACACACCTGACTGGAAAAAAAACACATGGAGGACTGATTATCCTTCCTTTTGAAACAGCTAGTGTTTGTCTTCATTAGGAGGCAAAATGCTGGGTTCTAACTCCCAGGTCAGATGGGCAGGTAGGAAGCATGAATATTCAGCAGTGAGAGAGACACCTTCTCCAGAATGCAAAGCAGCAGTCAATGTCCTTTCCGGAAGTTAGTCTTCAGAAAGTGTGCTACTTCACTGAGAGGAAGAAAGGAGCAAGAGCAAGTGAAGAGGCCTACGTATCCCCCTCTAGCTACTCTATTAATCATCAAATTCCAGCCTATAAAGAACCAAAAAAATCCCTGCAAAATACAAGAGACACAAACCCTTCTTCTGGGACGCTCCAAATAATCTTAACTCTCCCATCCCCAGCCCCTCTCTATAGCAGATCATCAGAAGACCACTGCACAGGAAACCCCTGGATCTAGCTAAGAAAGAAGATCCTGGATCAGGTGGACCATTTTCCTATTTTCACTCAGGATCCTTACAGGTGGTACATAAGGAAAGTTGCTGCTTTGAGGGAAGCAGGAGGAACAACAGAAGAAGTAAATTTCAGAAGGGTAATGTGCTCCATGAATAGGTCATTCTGACCCAACAAGAGAGGCAGATCTGCCAGTATGCAGAATTTCAGACCCTAGAGTTAGCTTAGGGACACAGCAAGCAGCTATTGAAGGAGAAAGGAATTACAAAGGCTGGCGAGAAAGGGGAATAACTACAAACTCTGAATGCAGTCATCAAGACTGGGGATGGAGCCAGGCTAAGAAAGCTGACGTGACCGAACGCCCAGGGAGCAAACATAAATGGCAAAATAAAAAAGGTCTGTTGAAACAAAGAGGGGAAAACGCCCTCCTCCACTACCTGTGCCAGCTTCCCAACTTAAATGCAGTAACTCCTCTTCTATGCCTTGGATGGGCAGCTTGGTTTCAGCAATTCATGCCAGCGTGACCCAGCACAATGGAGCTCAGCCTCCTTGCTCTTAAAAACACTTGAAGTTGCAAGTGTTCTCAGGAAGCATGGATTAAAAAGACACTTGCCAGGCTGTCCTAAGGGAGATGTAAAGCACCTCCAGTTAATATTCCTTACATTTCTCTCCTTTATCTATTTCCGATTTGATTTTATTTTATTTACTGAGATGAGGATACATTCAAGTTAATTTCACTTTCATGTGGGCATTTTTTTTTACTTACACAGATTGAATTTCAATGATAAAATATATAAAATGTACTGGAGCTGGATTTGAGGTTCCAGTCCAGCTCTCAGGCCAAAAGGGAAGATGGCCTCCATTCAAAATGGCTACAACCCAAGGAAATCAAAGACAGAGAGAAAAAAAAGGGAACAAGAAGGAGGAATGGGTAGGAAACATAAAAACAGCATTTTGTTGGATTTAAAACCACAGTATGTCCCCTGTTTTTGAGAACATTCATCAAAGTGTGAAAGCTGGATTTGATGCTGTGTAGATATCAGCTTGATAATGATATTATTCAAAGCTCCATAAGAGCTGGACAGAAAAGCATTTCTCACATAGAATGGGCAGTACTTCTCTTAGTCACATGAAATGGAATTAAAATAGAAAAAAAACTAGTATTTTGGGAATGCAGAAGAGTGGTTCTCCAAAAGAACCACTAAGGGAGAACCTTCAACACCTACCAGCGTGCCTGCCTCTCTAAAGGACAGTCTTCAATGCCTACGAACATCTCTGTACTGAAATGTGTATTGTACCTCCACCATTCAGTCATTTATGGAAAGGTGGGACAGAGTCACAGGATAGCTGTTCTTTTACCAGTCTACTTCACCTGGCCTTGCAAGGAGACTTAGACAGTCCATAGGAATTTTAGAATTTAAATGAGGAAAACTTAAAATAGTTTGAAAGGCAAACTTAGTAAGATACTGAAAGGACATAATGAGACTTCCCATTTTTAACACACTGATGCTGAAGCCACAGGATGGAAACCTCAAGACTATGAGTGCACAGACTATCAGGGCTTCAGTACCTCTTGGCTTCAAGTCAGAATGCTGGAGACCAAGAGCCCCAAACTCGATACTCCAGGGATGTTTGGACCCTCATAGGAGGTTTCCTCAGTTCCAGTTTCTCATTCTGCTTGACCCAGTTTCACTGGCTGCCAGACTTCCTGGTCACCAGGGAGCTTCCCAGCTACTTAAGGTCAGACAACTGCTTCATTTTGGAAAAGACAGAAAACAACAACAACCCAAAACAGCCAACCAACCAATCAACTTTCAGAGGCTGGTGACGTTGATTTTTGTTGTTGTATTTTTGGTTTGGTTTTGTCTTCGTAAAAGTTTAATGAATCATGCATAACACTTCCAGCATAATGAAGCACAGAATTCTGACATGATATGTTTTGTTTACTGCAGGCAATAACTTCATTAATATGAGCATAATACATTTTGCCAGAAGGGACAGGAGATTTTGTTTATTTTCTTATGTTTAGTTGAATACCTGTCTTGTTTCATCAATTTCCTATAATTTCAGCTACAGATAGTTGAGTTATACTTTTAATTTTTAGCTGTAGATTACAGTCTCTCTTACTTACAGTGTTCTTGAAAGCATATAATTCATATAA